AAATAAATAAAACTCCTAATGGCCCTAAAAATAGGCTCGATTTTCTTCACAAAGAATATGGTCTCATATCTTTCTTTGATTTTGAAATCACCCAGACATGTCTTGACAGACTTTGTGAGATTCACCCATATGACTGCTGGATGAATTCACCGATAAAATATTTGATCTCCCGTGAGGAAATACACAGGAAATTATTAGAGAAGGATGTCTCATAAACATCCGACTATAAATACAAACGGAGAAGTATTGAAATTAGTATTTTAGCACACTTCAACACACTACAACAAATTATAAAGAGAACCGCCCAATATTTCATAGAGAAACAAAACACCAAATATGGAAAAAAATGAGGCTTTGGTACAAAAACAGGTGTATTTATTGAAATCTCTAACAAACTCATCAACATCACTCCACTGAGGAGGATCATTCTGGAAGTTGGTCTTCAGGGAAAACTACAAAATCGATTAGTGGAAGCTACACAGGGCTGTGGATCTGGAAATGTACGGCCGTGGTGTAAAACAGAAATTATAAGAGCTTTGAGAGTCAGCCGGTATCCCAGCATGCCCCACTGAAGTGCTTCAATCAGCCGTACAGAAACGCAGTAAATCTGTCAACAGATTGAAGAATTCAGATTCACACAGGAGCTTGGACATGGAGCCACACAACAGCAGCAGAAGTCATCATTCTGATGAGAATCATACGGGTTTGGAACGACACAAACGTCTAAATGATAGAATTGACATTTTTTGGATAAATTATTTCTTGAAGTGTGCGAGTGAAAGTTGGCTGGTCAGTTCTGACTGAGTCAAATTTCATCGGTTTCTGTCCAGAACCAGCGTTGTATTTGTCAATTAAAACAAACTATTAAAAATAGCATTCAGTAACTGAAATAAAGATGAAATAAAATATAAATATTAGGTGAAAAATGTAAACTTGAAAATCTTGAACTTTGAAAATTTGAAATATGGCCTTGGCAACTAAATGAAATAAACAAGTTTAAGCTGAAGTATTAAAATAACCCAAAACTACATTATATAAAATCTATATAGAATGAAATGTTGAAATGAAAATATCGGTAATATGTAAAAACAAATAAATATTTCAACAAAAACTAACAAAAATCTCAAAATTACTAAAATTGCAGACGAAACAAAAATAAATCTAAAAAGAAATATTCAAAATGGAAATGGTAAAAAAATATATATATATATTTAAACAAAATAAAAATGTTTTTAAAACAATAGAAATATTAAAAAACAAATAAGAAAAAAGTTAAACAAAAAAAAGACAAAAGCACAAAATTACTAAACTACAACTGAAGTACAAATAAAACATTTTAAAAACAATACTAATATTTAAAATTATAATATAAAGTATTTTGGAAAATTAAATTAAAAAAAATAAAAATATATATATATATATAATATATATAAAAATAACAAAATACACATAACAAAATGAAAAAATAAATAAATGAAATAAGACCCAATTCAAAATATTAGTACATTTTATAATAGTATATAAATAACACTGGCCAGGACAGGAAATGGAATTGGACAATCAGGATTTTGAAGACACAGTTGTATATATTTACCAGTGATCCACATCGGCGTCGTCAAACTGTCCAGCAACTGTGCTTGAGTCGACTTCCATTCCATCTGAACACAGAGAGAGAGAGAGAGAAAAGTTTGATCACCGTATTCAATTACGACCATCCTGCCCTGTGCTGCTCCGCTGGGCTTTACCCATTACACATCCATTAGCCCTCAGGAAATCCTGCTTCCAGACACACACCCATCTGACCTCGCACAAAACACTCATCCTCCACCGACTGAAACCAAACCACATGCTCACACACACGCTGAACAAAACACTCATGCATTCGGTTCAAAACATGACTGTTTTAGCATCATGTGGGGTTTAAAGTAGCATGACTATTCTCTCACACTGCCATCTACTGGCTTCTCGTGTGCATTATTTTTCTTAATTTATACATTTTAAAATCAAGTAAATTCATCTGGGATGTCCATAAAACAGGTTAAGAAGCTGTCAGATTTTTTGACACTTTGTTTTATTTCTGTTTTGGTGGCCAAGTTACCACAGTTTTACAGCAATAATTCTATAATTCTATCATTTTATAGAAATATTATGTGAAAATAATGTATAATATATTATATTGTTACATTATATTATAGTAGTTTTCACAATATTTTAAATATTGTATAATGTTTTATATACATTTTGGTGACACTTGGTAACATTTCAATAATGTTCCACTTGCAAAAAAAAC